TTACGCGGAACATTTTAGCGCGTAAAAAAAGAGTTGGATATAAGCGGGAAAAAAAAATATTCTACCATTCTTATACAAAGTTGAGCAATTCTACTTTTCTATAAAAAATATTCTACTGTATACTTTATGGATATAAAAGTAATAATGTGAAAAATTAGAAATAATAACAGTGGACTTCCGCACCACCCTTGAGGTACCACCAATGGCGCGTTAGGTTTTTTAAAGTGGACTTTCGCCTGGAGCCATATTGTACCACATCTTTAGACCTTTTCAGTAAAAAAGTTCAAATAGATATATTGATGTCATATTGCGTAAGAGCGCACGCAGATGAAAAATTACATCAACATGTGACCGTGCGCAACACATCACCAATTTATCATATTTTTACTTTAGTATGTGCTCGAAATGGCCCCCCTCCATCCTCTCACAAAATGTAGCCCTTGTCAAAATTGCACGACGCACCCGGCGCAAGACCTGTGGAGTTATTGCACGGCAAGCTCGTACAATTCGATCTCTCAGATCTTGAGCATTAGCAGGTCGTGTTGCGTAAACTTGCTGCTTAAGATGACCCCACAGAAAAAAATCTAGCGGTGTGAGGTCTGGTGAACGCGGTGGCCATTCGTGGGGACCATAAAGTCCGATCCAACGGTTACCGAATTCCTCATTGCCCTGGCAGTGTGTGCTGGATGGCCATCCTGTTGGAACCACATGTTAGCACGTAATTCCAACGGCACCTCATCCAACAAGTCAACAAGTTCATTGTTGAGAAATCTTCGGTATCGGTCACCATCGATCCTATCATCAATAAAATGTGGCCCAATAATGTGGTCTCCGAGAATACCCGCCCAAACGTTCACCGACCACCTGACTTGTGTATGCGCTTGCTGCATCCAGTGAGGATTCTCAGTGGCCCAATAATGCGAGTTATGGCGGTTGACTTTGCCATCATTATGGAAAATACATTCGTCCGAAAACAGAATGTATTTCGAAAAATAATAATTTTCCTCACTCACATTAAGGAGCCATTGACAATACCTCAATCTGCGAGGTTTATCATTTGCAAGCAACTCTTGAGTCAGGGTTACCTTGTAGGGATGGAAGTGAGCCGATTTCAAAGCCCTACATACTGTTGCCTGGCTGACTCCTTGATACCGCGCGACGTTTTGTGTACTAATTTCTGGGTCATTAGTGACCTCTTCTAATATCCGTGCGGTATTTATGCGCGATGGTCGTCCTGTACGAGGCAATAAAAGTAAGAGGATACAATTTTAAATTATTTTATTAGAAGATCTTAGAAATAAATATGTACCTGCAGGCTTAACAGGTCTAAATTGACCATTTTTTCGCAACCGCAATTCCAGCCTCAGAAAAAATGTATGATGTGGCTGTCTTCGCTCTGGGTATTTACGAGCATAAGCTCTCGCAGTTTCCCGCAATTGTCGGCCGCATATAGCGTACAAAAAAACCATGTCGCACATCTCATTATTCGTAAAATTATGAGCCATGTTGACCGCACGTTCTATCACGTTTACGAAACACACGGAATCGAAGCGAGACACGGAATGAACAATTTGCTAGGATAAAGCTGTAGAAACAACGCAGAAACAGTGAAAGAAATAATTGAAGATCGACAGAATTCTGACAGAAAACTATCTTCTATTTCCGACTGAAAGTTTATGTTTTAAAATACCCAGAGCAGAAGTAACCAAGCCACATATTTTCGATGAGGCTACAGACTAGTTGTAGCTGTGAAAAAATGGTCAATTTCTCTGAAATGTTTAAATACATATTTATTTCTAAGATTTTATGGTAAAATGATTTTAAATATTTTGTTCTTTTATCATTATTTTCATAGCTTTTTTCGTACAACACGAACACCGCGCATAAAAATGGCGCAAATAGAAGAAATGATTATAATATCGACGACCTAATAATTAACGCACAAGCCATCACGCGGTAGAAATCAAGGAATCAACCAGAAAATTATATGTAAAACTTTGATATCAGTTTATTTTTATTCTTGTGGGATTATCTTAAGCACACTGAAAGCCGGAAAACAGTAATAGTCTCTGAATTTTCGTTCATTCTCAATTTTTATTCTCAATACATAAATCCTCACTTAAAAAAAAAAGTAATGTCTACTGAAAAACACAGTAATATCTAAAGATTAAGATCGTAAGCGATACTGTTTGAAAGAAATAATAGAAAAGAAATAATTGTTGAGAAGTTCCGTTATTCAATCATGTGCGATTCTGTAACCATTAAATACTGTTGGCTCTTTATATTCGTTTTATCGCGCGAGTTCAGAGAAGTTCAGAGAGATTCATAACAGTTATTGTAGAATAGATTGTTAGCTCAGCGTTAGCGTATTAAACTGTTATTCCGGAATCTTAGGTTTGAATCCCGTCTCCCGTCAATGTATTTTCAAAAATTATAAAACAGTGCGTAATTTTAAATAATAAAATAGAATATGCAAAACCACGAATACAAATTAAACTATAAAAATATTCAAAAAAATAAGACCTATTTGAAGATATAAAAAGAATCTTTTTTTTTAATTATTGCACCGGAATCATTACTGATTTTTATTGTAATGGTTACTGTGAGATCCGTACTGGTTACTGAAAGAATGTTTACTGTTAGTAGCGCGTGATGGTTAATGTAAGAAAGGTTAAAAGTTGAGAGTGAGCAAAAATACAGGAATTAATACTGTTTTTCGGCTCCTAGTGCAGTAATTAAGTTTGCACAACGCGACTTGCTAGTGCTCAAGAAGTGAAGGATTTTATTGTACGAGCTTGTCGTGCAATAAGTCCACGGGTCTTGCGCCGGGTGCATCGTGTAATTTAAAAAAATGCTACATTTTGTGAGAGGCTGGAGGGAAACCATTTCGAGCACGCATACTGAGGTAAAAACATGATAAATTGGTAATGTGTTGCGCACGGTCACACGTTGATATAATTTTTCATCTGTGCGTTTTTACACGCAGTATGACTTTAGTACATCTGTTTAAACCTTTATACTGAAAAAGGTCTAAAAATGTGGTACAATACGGGTCAGGCGAAAAAACCTAAAGCGCTATTGGTGGTACCTCAAGGGTGGTGCGGAAGTCCACTGTTATTATTTCTAATTTTTCACATTATTACTTTTATATCCATAAAGTATACAGTAGAATATTTTTTATAGAAAAGTAGAATTGCTCAATTTTGTATAAGAATGGTAGAATATTTTTTTTTCCGCTTATATCCAACTCCTTTTTTACGCGCTAAAATGTTCCGCGTAAGCGTGAAAAGAAACCGCCACCAAATAAAACTGTATTAAAATATAAATATCTAAAAAAAAATCGTATAAAAAAGATACTCTTACTACGTTTACGCGAACGTTACTTCTGTAGTAATTTACGATAATTCTTACGCGTAAACAGAATTTTGTGGTAACTTATGATAATTTACTTTGCGTAAAAGAGTGAATTATCGTAAGTTAGTTACTACAGAAGTAATCGCTCGCGTAAACGTAGAAACAGATACAAAAGATATTTCTTTCTATTACTATGTTTACGCGAGCGTTACTTCTGTAGTAACTTTCGATAATTTCTTCGCGTAAAGGAAATTTTGTAGTAACTTACGATAATTTACTTTGCGTAAACGAGTGAATTATCGTAAGTTACTTCCAAAGTAACGCTCGCGTAGTACATGCGGTAAATACGTTGCGCATAGATGGAGAATAATAAGAAATCGTGTTATTAAATAAAATTATATGTAAAAAGAAAAATGCGTAAGACAGTTGGATATATTAGAAAAGTATGTACATACGATATACGTTATTTAATTCACAGTTTTTAACTTGCCTGTACATCATCTCGAACTCGTCGATCGAAGCGGTCGATTCAAGCTGGTGTCACCTATGGATCGTTCGTTTGATTACAGTTGCGGTCGGTAACTCATCTCCTATGGTAAAAAGTTGGTGCATCTATTAAGATTCACCCTGTATATTCTCTCTTTGTAATTGGCGCAGTATTAAAAAATTTCACATATTTTTTTAAATAAATACCACTTGTTATTTAAGTTTTTTTTGAAGTAGATATCACTTGGATTGAATAAAGTAACAATTTTGTAAGAAATTAAATTTTGTAAAAAAATAATTTTGTTAAGAAAAATTAAAGTTACTATCACCTAGGTTAGAATAAATTTTATTTATTTTTTAAATTGATAGATATTACTTGTTCAGTTCAGAAAATACTTTATTTGCCCCAAAGGGGCCTTAAAGGGCGTTTTTATGGAACGTACCCATACCTTACATCCGGCGTTTTGAAAGGACGTACCCAACCCTGTACAAACTAAGTCCAATCAAAATCGAAAGTTATACAATCCAAAAGAAATTTTACCGATCAAAATTCAATATCCAGAAGGCCGAACTCAAAAGAAATGAACTCTAGTGAGATCATAATCGTCATATGTATAGACCGGTTATATTCTCCTCCAACTGCCTTTTTCCTCCTCCTATTTCACCTCCCTTCCGTTTATCCACATTCTTCTATTTGTTAATACTACGGAACTACCCTTCATTCTTTCCTCTCTTGCCTTCTCCACCAATTTATGTCTGTAGGCTCTTTCCTCAAATGTTAGTTCCTCGTCGACTCCTATCTTCCACCTTCTCCATATCTCGTCACATTTTTCTATCACCTCTTCCTTATCCTCCTCTTCATCCAATTCCATAAACATTATGATCTTTCCGTCCGCGCCAATCACCTCCAACACTTTTCTTATTGGGATCATTCTTCTTGTTACCTCTTCCATTATTGTTTCCAGCATCTCCTTTCTTTCTTTTGGTCCTCCTACTACTTTCCTCCAGATCAGATTCTTTTTCCTCTTTTTGATTTTTTCTTTTCTCTCTTTTTCTTCTTTTCTCTCCACCTCCCTCTCTCTCTTCTCTCTTCTTCTTCTTATCTCCTCCTCTCTCTCTTCTACCATTCGTCTCAGCCTATTCGTATTCCTCTCCTCTTCTTGTTCCTTCCTTCTGTCGCTTTTCAGCGGTCTTCTCCAGTCCTTCTCGATCTTATCTCTTCCTCCGTCACCTTTTTTCTCTACAGCCCTCGTCGTTCCTTGGATCTTTTGCCTGGCCCCCTGACTCTTCTTGTCCTCACAACTATTATCTGTCCCTTCAGTGTTCCTTACCCCCGTGTCCGTCGATCCTTCACTCCAGTCTCTTCCCCACCCTTTGCTCCACCCTTCTTCCCCTCGTTTCTTTTCCTCCGTCATCTTCTTCTCCATCCCTTCCAGCTGGGTTCTTAGTTCCCTCAGTTCCTCTTTGATTTTCATTTCCATTCGTCCTATTTCCTCCTTAATTTCGCGCCCGATCTCCCTCAGTTCCCTCGTGATTTCCTTGACCCAATCTGGCTCCTCCCTCCTTCGCCCCGCTCTCGGTGCCTCCTCTTTGCTGACCACTATATTCAAATACAGACTCGTATTACTTATTAAACTGTCCTCCTCTCTTTTCTTTTTCTTTCTTTGTCAATCCTAACCTATCCGCCCTCTTGACCGTAAATCCCTCTTTCTTACTGCTACTCTTGTCCCCTCTCTTCCGCACCATACGAATATTTATATTACTTACGTTCTTCCACATTTCTCTCCGCTTCCTTCCTCCTTCGTATTTTCGAACCTTCTCTCCGTTTAGTTCTTTCTGCGATACTTTTCTCACCTGCCTTACGTTGTGCGCTCTCAGAGGGTCGATTCTGTATTTTGAGACAAGGTGAAAATTACAAAAGTGAACAGATTTACTAGATTTCAACAAATGAAATTGTAGATTCTCTAGTGAATGTCCTCACTTTTGTAATTTTCACCTCGTCCCAAGATACAGAATCGACCCCAAGATTTCGTTCACCGCGCGTGCCCGACATGCGCCGCGGCTCTCTCGACATTCAGTCGCGCCACCCTTAAATTGTCCGTCTCGATCCGTCCCTACACTCACAGTGTTCTCACTGCAGCGACACCTGCCAGCTCGCCCTCTTGCACGCAGATGTCACTTGCTCCCGTGTCGCGCCTCGGCGTCCCGCAGTAGTGCCAACCTGCTCTTTTGGAGAGGCCGCACCCCGCGCCGCCTCCGCACTAGCGTTCGCCTGCTGTTTATTTCCGCGCCACGTGTCTCGGCGTCCGCGGCTCGCGCATGTCCGTGCGCCCCTCTTTCTCTTCCTTTTCCGGTCACCTGCCTTACTGTTCCTCCTTCTTCTCTCTTCTTCTCCCTTCACCTTGCCTTGCTCTGTCCTAACCTTTTTTCTTCCTCGCCTTCTTCTCTTGATTTACTTTTAACTTTTCCTGCTCTCGAGTCTTCCTTCAATTGTACACTTTCCTCTTTCCTTTCTTTATGGCTCTCTTCTTTCTCTCATCGTTTCTCGATTCCTGCTCCGCCAAAACTTTCTTTGATTCCTCCTTTCCTTAACGGAGCACCCGTCCTCCTTCCTCACCCAACCGGAAGTCCTAGATATTACTTGTTATTTAAGTTTTTTGAGGTAGATATCACTTGGATTAAATAAAGTAACAATTTTGTAATATAATAATTTTGTTAAGTGTAATTTACAGTTGATATTTATTTGACATATAAACTACGAATGTAAGGCCTATATATAACAACATATTATTGATTACTGATAAATGTATGTTATACGCATGTAAAACATACATAAATTATTTACAAGTAATATATTAATATATATGTATATATATATTAATATATGTACATGTATTATACATATATATATGTATATATATATATATATATATATATATATACATATATATATGGGACGTTCCATGTCAACCGGGACAGGGCCGTCTCCAAAATTCTATTGAACCGATTAAAATGGTTAAGGGCTTAAGGGAATGCTGGAGCCGTCTGTATAACCGACAAAATTACCATTTTCTATGTTATCGACTATATCTGTCCTTGTATGGACAAAGATATAGACAAGGATAGCACGCTACATTGCACGCACACATACGCACGATGCACATCAACATTATACTTTTATATTACGCTTCCAAATCTTGATTTCGAGGGTTTATCGATGTTTTTCTTGTTGTGCAATTCAGGGAAACTTGTTTTCGCGTTCGTACCAATGGTATATCTCTTATATGAAATACATCTTGTGACGAGCTGACAGCTCGCCGCAACTCGAGACGCCATATTGGGATAAAAGTAGGATAAGGAAATCTGTACTTCCGTAATTTTTTCTCGTTTTTTATATAAATTCAGAGTTCCCCCGAATCATTAATGTATGTACTGCAATTCTGGAGGATTTTTAATTCTGTCAAATTAATACGATGCTACGTGCCGACAAAAAATGCCGGTAAAACAGACGGCTCCAGCATCCCCTTAAAATCTTTGTTTTTGTGTGCTTTATCAAATACAGTGTGGTACTTTTGAAAATTTAATATGGCGGTCAAAATATGGCGCTTTATATGAGTTAAAAACACAAATCATATGATTAAATTGTTGTTTCTAATGGAAAGAAAGGATACATAGCTTGTGAGTAGATAGCACTAAGATTTGGATGTCTCTCAAAAAAATAAAAATGGCGGATTCAATATGGCGGACAAAAACAAAACTTTTACCAAAATTTCTGAAACTCAATATTTGGAGGTTTTTGAGGTCGCTGATTACGAATCCGTTCATGATTTTTTAAAATTTAAAATGGCGGATTCAATATGGCGGACAAATTTTTCTTAAATTCATCAGATTCACTTGAAACTCGTTATTCGGGGGTTTTTGGGGTCGCTGATTATGAAATTGAAGTCAGTTTAGAGAAATTCAAAATGGCGGATCCAATATGGCGGACTGATTATGCATTACATCTTGCCTTCGTTGGTTGGATTATATCTTGCCTTTGCTGACTGGATTGTCGATTACATCTTGCCTTTGCTGGCTGGATTGTCGATTACATCTTGCCTTTGCTGGCTGGATTGTCGATTACATCTTGCCTTTGCTGGCTAGATTATGCATTACATCTTGCCTTTGTAGGATATATAGGATCCGCCATTTTGAATTTCTCTAAACTGACTTCAATTTCGTAATCAGCGACCCCAAAAACCCCCGAGTAACGTGTTTCAAGTGAATCCGATGAATTTTAAAAAAATTAGTCCGTTATATTAGATCTGTCATTTTGAATTTCTCTAAACTGACTTCAATTTCGTAATCAGCGACCCCAAAAACCCCCGAGTAACGAGTTTCAAGTAAATCTAATAAATTTAAAAAAAATTTGTCCGCTATATTAGATCCGCCATTTTGAATTTTAAAAAATCATGAACGGATTTGTAATCAGCGACCTCAAAAATTCCCAAATACTGAGTTTCATAAATTTTGGTAAAAGTTTTGTTTTTTTGTCTGCCATATTAGATCCGCCATTTTTATTTTTTTGAGAGACATCCAAATCTTAGTGCTATCTACTCACAAGCTGTGTATTTTTTTTTTCCATTAGAAGCAACAATTTAATCATGTGATTTGTGTTTTTAACTCATATGAAGCGCCATATTTTGACCACCATATTGAATTTTCAAAAGTACCACACTGTATTTGATAAAGCACACAAAAACAAAGATTTTAAGCCCTTAACCATTTTAATCGGTTCAATAGAATTTTGGAGACGGCCCTGTCCCGGTTGACATGGAACGTATTCACAGCAAACCGCATATATAACATTGTGTTATTTTTATAACCTAACCTATTTATGCAAACGTTAGTTCTGTATAGTAACTTACGATACAATAATTTCTCCGCGTAAACGGGAGATTTTATAAAATAGTAATTATAATCGGAAATCAAGAGCCACCGTTGAAAGTAATGAAAGTTACGTTTCTTTGATTGAGAGACGACGACGTATCTTAAGGATGTATCACACGTACAATCTTAGACAAAAGTGCATGAAATTTGAAATACTTGAATATCTACGCCTAACGCATAGTAAATCTAGATGTAAGATACTCAAATGATAGTAGGAGTCTTATTTTTACTCCTAGAAAAGTATTTTTTACTTTATAAATGTTTTTTCCGTATTATTTGCGATTTTTGTAATTTATGAGCCTAAACTTTTGGCAGTGAAAATACCCTGATTTCAATTTCATAACGTCAAATTATTTCAAAGCAAAAGACATTATTCAGCAGTGCTGATAAACAAATGTGACTTTAATAACGTCAAAAAAGATAAATATGTATCATATAAACGATAATTTTGAATATTATTTATTATAAACATTGTTATGCGACTCTCTCAAAAGAGACGTGACAACGCTGTATGACTCGATTCACGTATGTTGGCAGCCTTGCACAGTACCAAAACAGTGCAAGACTTGACGCGAGCTCCGAGGTTATATCTGTCGTTTATATTTTTACAATGTCAGACAAAAGTTATCGGTGGAAAGGAAAATTAGTGACAAAAGCCCTTTATGAAAAAAGACTCGCTCAACGAAAAGCTGGAATAGAAACGTGCAATAAGCGAAGAAAAGTTTCGACTGAACCGGAGGAAAGTAATCCCATAACCAATGAAGATGTGGAACAACAAACAAATGTCATCGATGGACGACGTATTGTCGATTTGAACATCTTGGGACAGCAATTATGGTGTTGTTCTTGTACCGAAGCTCTTTCTCTACAGTACATAGAAAGTGAGATACGAAGTGGCTTGGCTTCTCTATTTCTAGTACGGTGTCATAAGTGCCTCGCCGTGAATAAAGTTTGCACAGGCACGCAACAATATACCGATAAACACAGCCCTCGCTTCGACATCAATTCGAAAGCAACATTAGGTAATACTTTATGACAGATTATTGTGCTTCTATTGTTATTAATTTTATAATTACTATTTATTATTTGTACATATTGAATTTTTCGCTCTGCAGGTATCCTACATTGTGATTTAGGATGGACACACTTCAAAAAAATGCTAGCATGCATAAACGTACCATGTATGAATTTTAACACATTTAAAAAATATGAACAAGAAGTGGGAGTTGCTGCGGAGGAAGTAGCGAATGAAAGTTGCGTAGAAGCCACTGCGCTGGAAAGAAAACTCACTATCGAAAATGCTGAGAGCATCGAAAAGTTATTGTAAATGACTACTTTTATAAAATAGCATATTTTACGTTAATATTTATATATTCATATTTTTGAATTTTAATTGTAAATATGAGTCATTCAATTTGTGTTTACTGTTTGAAAACATAAAGTAATTCGGCTTTTATATTCTCAATGGTTATTTACAAATCAGGTTATTTACAAATCACAGTTATTTACAAATTAGTTATTTACAAATTAGTTATTTACAAATTAAGTTATTTACACATTAGATTATTTACAAATTAAATTATTTATAAATAATAATTATTTTGATCAACGTTTTTCGATGTAGAATGTATTATGTAATCTAAGCTCTCTTCGAATCCTAATTACACACTTATTAAAACTGAGAAAAATAATATAAAAACAAACCTATGTGTATTTACTCTTTTTTTCAGGCCTGAACAAGTTCCAATCCAATTTTATAATTAATTCTCGACCGCAAAATGATCCTATTCCTACCTGTATTGAATCCGAACCTGAACAAGAACCTACTGTTACTTTCAACGATGTAATCCGCGTTGCAGTGTCATACGATATGGGATGGAGTACGAGGTGCAGGTCGAAATTACGACAGCTTGAATGGCTTTGGTGCTATTGTTGGTCACCGTAGCGGAATGATTTTAGATTATTCAACATGTAATCGGATGTGCAAAAAATGCAATGCAACCGATCAACCTCCGGATCACGATTGCCGCAAAAATTTTGATGGTTCGGCGAAAGCTATGGAGCCTCACGTCGCTAAGAAACTCATTGTCAATAGCAGCATACTTAGGGCCCAAAATGTAGAAGTGGGTGTACTCATAGGAGACGATGACAGCACAACCAATGCAGTATGCCAAGCTGCCAGCAAACATTCCATCGTAAAATAATCCAATATGAACCACACATCAAACGGCGTCAAAAAAAGATTATACACGATTAAAAAAAACCATAAAGAACTTACAAAAAACTGCATTACATATCTCCACCGGTGCTTCACGTACGCTATGTGTCAGAATAAAGGTAACAGCAGAGCGATGGCTGATGCAATCCGTAACATTCCGTACCACGCTATAAACGACCATAGTAAATGTAGCCACTGGTGTGGTTTCATTCATGACAAGGAAAATTATGAGCACAGAATCATTCCAGGAGGAATTCGGGAGCCGAGACTGTTCGAGGCACTTTGAGAAATCTTTGACAAGCTGGCCAATAATGCCGTAAAATTTTCGGCGGGTGCATCGAGTAATACCAACGAAAGCCTAAACGCAACTATGGCTAGCAAAGCTCCAAAATCTCGATGTTACAGTAAAACTGCGTCCGCCGACTTCCGATTCGCTTGCACAGTTGGCCAGAAAAACATCGGGGAAGGATACACGCAAGCGATTTTGAAAAAGCTGGGCAAATCGCCGGGCAAGCACCATTCGCGACATGTTGCAGCGTCACAAAAAATTCTCCAAAAGCGACGGCAATTGATGAAGACATCAGCTTACAAGAAACGACGTATGCATTTGAAAAAGCTGCGGGCGGCTTTACGTCATAGAAAGGAAAACGTCGAAGGCATCACTTATCAGAGCAATGTCGATCTTTTAAATGAACTTGCAGAGGAAGACAAGACAGATCTAGAGGAAGAAGACAATAATGACATTGCTATTGTTCTATTAGATTTAGAAACATCTGGCTTCGAAATAAATTGCGACATTCTCCAAATTGCCGCAAAATATGGCAAAAATTTGTTCGATATTTATGTTAACCCGGTTCAAGATATTTCTGTGAGTGCCAGTCAGGCGAATGGTCTAACGAGCTGTTACGGAGAACTCATGTACAATGGTCGACAAGTTCCATCTGTGCCGATAAGAGCTGCGTTGGGAAGTTTACATGGGTTAACATCGCTCGGAAAAAAGTGTTGCATTGCTACACATAATCTTTCATTTGATGGGCCCAGATTTATGAAACAAGTCATAAAATGTTCTCTAGAAAATGAATTTTTCGAAGTAGTTTATAGTTTTGTTGATACGTTACAGGTTATTAAAAATAGTACTGGTCGCAAAGGAAAAGGGGCATGCTCAATTAGCGGATTGGCAAATGCATTGAACATTTCTACCGTTGGAGCTCACAATGCGTCACGCGATTGTGTGATCCTGTCTAAAATACTAAATAAGTTGAAGATAACGACGCAACAACTTTTAACAAATTCAAAGACTTTCTCCGAACAAACTTTTATATGGAATACTCAGCAGAAAAGTACTGAAATTCTGTCAACATTAGCAGCTATGAAAAATATTGGTTTATCAGTCCGCAAGAAATTGGCGTTAGCTGAATTCGACATAAAAACTTTAAAAAATTCTTATACACTGTGTGGAGCTGACGGACTTGCCGAATTTCTTGAGACAAAAATCAAACAAAAAACTTTACAAAAAATTCAAAAAGAATCAATAAATAAAATTATTGATTTTTTACGGTAAGAGAAAGATCAATTTTGCCAAAGAAAAACCAAAGAGATTATTTAATATAGTTTATTTTGTTTTTATTGTCCTAGTTTATGAAAAAATATAGTCTTTTATGTATACTGAATATACTTTTATTATGCATACTGTGGTTGTAAGTGAACATGTATTGATAATATGACACTTATTAAAACTGAGAAAAATAATATAGAAACACACCTGTGTGTATTTACTCTTGCAAAATTATTGCTTCTTATTGTGTAATTTTTCCTGCGTTATTTGATATTCATAATTCCGCTATGTTTCTCATTTCCCCTTTCTATCTCTTCACGAATGCAACGGAAACAAAAAGTTAGCTAGAAGTAGTAGAAGGCATAGATATACGTGTAGCGACAGCCATAGGTTATGTTCGCTTGCCCAGCTGATTGCGACGTTGCCGCGCTTTCACGAGCCATCGAGATACATTCGTGCCGACAGCACAATTATCTTAAGTTATAATTTATTTCTTTAAAACGGTGTAGTGAAGTCAATTGAAACTTGGCAGATATTTTCATCTATTCGCATACTAAATGTACAAAAAAATTCAAAATATTGGTAGCGCTTCTTCAACATTTTTTTAGCTGTTTTATCCGCCAAAATCGTCTCTTCCCATAAGAATACGTGTAAAATCAGTGAAAATTAAAATCGTCATATCTCAGCAATTGTTTAGTGGATTCGTTTCTACTTTTTTGTAGCACATCAGGAAGACTAAAAGAACATTCTCACAAATTTTTATCCACTTGGTAGCGCTTTGAAAATAGGTGCAATACATCCTTAATATGAATTACTGTAAGTTACTACAGATGTACTCACTCGCGTAAACATATAGCTCGACAACTTTTACAAGACAGCATATACGTACGTGTGCAATTTTTGATACACCTTCCTTCTTTTAAAGATCTCCTTGACATCAACTCTTTGTGGTTAATACTTTATATATTTCACTTACTACGTTTACGCGAGCGTTACTTCTGTAGTAAACTTACGATAGTCTGTCACGACGCGGCGACGGTCACGACTGTCAGTACTGTTACACACTATCAATTTCTTGGTTATTATAACTGATGAGAGATCACGGTGTTGACGATTTACATATTTTACTGTCACGACGCGGCGACGGTCACGACTGTCACACACTATCAATTTCTTGGTCATTATAACTGATGAGAGATCACGGTGTTGACGATATTTCTAGGTTATCACTGACTGTGGCTGCATTCGGGGAGCACGCTATTAGCGCTATTGCATCATTCTATCTTTATCGCTCATCAAGTGTAGAACAAGGATAGAATAAGCAAATAGTGCTAATAGCGCGCTCCCCGAACGCAGCCTGTGACAGCGCGCTGAACGCACTGCCTGCACTGCGCGGCGCGCGCAGTACACACACATAACTGAACTGACTGTGACAGCGCGCTGAACGCACGCGTAATGTACATATAGAAACTAGCGATACTAGCACCGCCATTACCGCCAGTGTCGAAAAAGTGAAAAGGACGCGACTCCAGCCAATGAAATGAAGGCATGGCATGAGAGCGTTAGTAGAAAAAAGTATCTTAAAATAAAATTTTCACATTTCGACTTTGCGTCGCAATATCTCCGCTCGTAGGGCACGTAGCGGAAAAATAAAAACACCCCCCCCCCCCCAAGTCGACCCCAAGCTATCGATCAAACCTACTTAGAACTTGATCCGTTCACTCGTTGTCGAGATCTCAACATCTCGTGTACTCGCAACTCGTGCGTTCGCGTAAAAGAGTCACGGTCGATCTCGCTCCGCGTATACTTGGTGCGAGACACTACCGTGTCTCTTGATACCTGCGAAAAACGTCAAATATTGTCAAATGTAACATTATGGATAACATTAATCGAACCACAAACGTGGCTGTTCTCAACACCGAAAAAAACAAAAATTAACTATACAATGTAATGATCAGGCGGAACAAAAAATCAAAATAGAGCAAACAAGAAAAATAAGTATAAATAAAAATTGTAAATTAACTACACCCGAGACATTATTATAAAAACAAAAAGACAAACAAATATGAAAAAAATACAAATACACCTAGTAGATTTTAATTTAACACTAACAAGCAAAAATAAAAATATTAACGAACAAGCAAAAAAGGAAATTAGACTAGAACCTGTAATAAAAAATCCTAACGAATTAATGGAATTAAGTTTAGACATAAACGAAATAAATAAAGAATTGGAAAAATTCTAACAATAAGATAGAATAATAAAAAATCCTTATGTCATATATCCCGTAGGATCGACCTTTACGATTATAATAATATTAAGCGTAATAGGAATAAGTATCTGTGTAATAAAAAGAAATAAGAAACGAGCGAGCGCCCGACCGCACATACAGAGCGATCCGGCGATGTTATATTAGAAGATAAGAAAAATGTAACCTCAGAAAACTATAAAGTGAATGAATCACCCTGATAGAAATAAAAATAGAATAAGCAGCGAAAATTGTAACGAAAACTACAGACCGTAGTTTCCTTTTCTCAAAGGGGGAGGGATGTTGCGGCCCTAATTAATTATTAAGAAATATGATTAAGAAATATTATTATTTAAAGATATGTATTATCAAAATCGTATTAATAGAGTATTATAATAATTAAACACGACCGTGAATGTGTTCACGAGTTACGAAAGCCCAGTCAGCAAAACGATGAAGTGCGCGAGCGGCCTACATCCGATCGAGCAACTCAGCAGTAATACCTAGGAAGGACAAACGAGCCGATAAAAGGGAACGAGAGGAAGAACCGAGAGGGCATTTAGTCTGGCAGTGACAAGTATTTTGTGTAATTGTCAAACAGAATTAATTAAAGTATCATTTATTCAAAGTGCCGTTTATCTTAATTCCGCCTCCCCCATGGACCAAAAGAATCTGAGTGCCCCGTCCGCAAAAAGGGGCACAACAGCAAACTCCCTATAACTTCTCTATAATTGTATTTTTCTTTTTTTGGTGTATTTCTTTCTTCATTTTTCAAAATTGGTACCTTCACTGGCTTTGCTTTATCCATACTATATTGTTTAAGAATTTTATTTGTATATTCTTTTTGTTTTAATTTTATACTATCTTCTTTTCTTGAAATTTCTAAACCAACGTATATTCTCGGTTTATATTCAACTGTCATCTTAAATTCCGTTTTTAGCTGTTCAATAATTTCTTCAATTCCTTGTAAATCGTCTCCAAGAAGTTTTACATCATCTACATACATTCCCAAAAACAGTTTTTATTAATCATTTTGAAGATACACTGTTCACTCTCTAATGGCTTGAATCCCTTTTTTTTAAGAAAATCTGTAAACCGTTTATTCTATTTTAATGGAGCTTGTTTCAAGCCGTATAGTGCTTTCTTTAACTTGAGGACTTTTCCTATATAATCGTAACCATCAGGTGGATACATATACACATTTTCTTCGACATTTCCATATAGAAAAGCTGTTTTTATATTGAACTCCTCACTATCTTGTACTCCTTCATTGCTGCGAGTGCAAATAAACTTCTGAGAGCGCTCATACTAATCACAGAACTGAAAGTCTCTTCATAATTTACTCCAAATTCTTGTTCACATCCTCTTATCGCCTTAAGTCGAGCCTTATATCTTCCATTTTTTATCTTAAATACCCACTTTACTGTTAGTGATTTTTCTTTTTTAAGATTTTTTAAATCTATAATCTCCCAAGTATTATTTTTCTTTAGGGAATTATTTTCTTCATTGATTGCTTCTTCCCATCTAAGCTTGTCGAGACCTGACACTGCTTCTTTATATGTTAACATTACGTAATTTGCTTGATAACGTTCTGGACATTTTATCTGTCTTGATGATCTTCTGACTGAAATATTTACATCATTATTTTTTTCATTGTCTTCTTGTCTTCTTCTTTCTTCGTTTTCATTCACATCTTGTCTCCCCCTTTCTTTAAAAGAGGAATTTCCTTCGTCTGCATCTTCCCATCCTTCTTCATTATTTAAATTTCTTTCTTCTTCAGTTTCTTCATTTTCTAGATTTCTTTCTTCTTTAATTTCATCATTCTGTTGAATAAATCTTATTTTACTTGTCTCTGAGTTTTTATTCTTTTTCTAAACTTACTTCTTGAAATTTTACATTTCTGGCTATAAGTATTTTCTCCTCTTTAGAATTTCATAGCTTATATTTATTTGGCGCGTAACCTACAAAGATTAATTTCCTGCTTCTCTCTTCAAGTTTTTTCAGTGGTCCCAATATCTTAGCATATGCTTAGCGGATGCCACGGATATAACTGGACATACAGTTCTGCATGTCCAGTTATATCCATGGCATATTCTAAAAATTTTTCGACGTGAATTTTATGTCCACTTGATATAGTTTCCAGTATCACTTTGAAACGATATATTAGATTGAAAT